GCCTGTAATCTCAGAACTCAGGAGGCTGAGGCAGGAGGATCACTCTGAGTTCGAGGCCAGCCTGGGCTACAAAGTCAGTTTAAGGCCAGCCTGAGCTGCATAGCAAGACTCTGTCTCAAAACAAAACAAAACAAAACAAAACAAAACAAAACAAAACAAAACAAAAGAATGGTGTTCCCTCCTCCACCCCATCGCCACCCCCGGTGTGAATTCTTTCTCAGGACCCCAAGTGATAGGAGTTGGCGTGGGAGAGGCGATGTAATCCATGGCTGTGTCCTCAGACACGTGGATTCAAACCCATACTGCGCCCCACTAGCCGCAGGACCTTGGGTGAGAGACGGAACCTTGCTAAGGCCGTTTTGCCAGCGGCACCCCGAGATACCTCCCTGCCGTAGCGCTGCAGTCTTGTCCTGTGAGGACCGAGGCCACGCGTGTGAAAGTGTCAGCGTCCTGTGCGGCCCGCACGAGGTGCCCACAGCAGGGTCCCTCAAGAGCGCACAGTCAGGCTCCGGGCCCTGTGGGAAGATTTTCGAAAAACCAGGAAATGGTATCAGAGAGCCGTCGTTTGGAGGGGACTCACACGCCAGATAATCCAGTAGAGCCGAGGCAGAGAGGACAAAGGCAGGGGTGCGGGGGCCAGAGCGGAGGTGCTGCCCCAGCTACCTAAGAGGCCGGGGTGGGAGCCAGGGCCAGCCCGGGCTCAGGGGCCAGGCCCTGCCCCAAAGTTACACATGAATAGGGAGCCGTCGGTTGGAAAGCGCAGCGGCATAAGCAGCGCGAGGACAGGAGGATGCAGCAAGGACAGAGACCCTGCGTCTGGTGTGGAGGGTCGGTTCTGGGGGCGTCCCTCAGGTGGGGGACTCTGGCCTCGCTCAGATTCCCAGCCCTCCCGCCGCCCTCGCCGCTGGGCTCCGAGGGCCCGGGCCAGAGGCGCTGCACCGCCCGCGATGACCACCGGGGGGCGCTGTGGCCCAGCGGCTGGGTGCTAGGTTCGCGCGGCTCCGAACGCGTTCCCGAGGCCTCCCTGCGCGCAGAGCTGCGCCGGGCGGGGAAAAGGCGCCCACGCGAACATCTCTGCCAGTCCGGCGTTCCTGGAGCACTTTGGAGGGTGCCGTCACCTGGTCGGATGCCAGCTGTGTCAGCGTCACCCCCACCCCCCGAAGGCACCGGTGTTGACTTCACCGTAATTCAAGTCCGTACAGATTCAGGAGAATCTGAATGTGACCCCAGGGGCATGATCCCCAGCCCGTGCCCTCCGCCACAACCCACCAGCTTTCGCTACAAAGACAGCTTTGAAAGATTTGCGGGATAATATATCAATTTATGGTTTTTAAAAGCAATGACAGCATTTCCATTTGGGAAGATAAGAACTTCTGGGGTGGTTGTACGACCGTGCAAATGCATTTCCTTTTTTCAGTACTGGGGATGGACACAGCCTTTGCATTGAGCTACATCTGCGGCCCTTTTATGTCTTTTATTTTGAGATGGATCTTACTAAATTGAGAGGACTGGGCTAGAATTTGTGATCCTCCTGTCTCAGCATCCCAGTGCTGGAATCATAGCCCTGGGCCAGCACACCTGGCTAGGAATGTGCTTTAAAATGGTAAATTTTAAGTAGCATGGTGGCACACGCTGTTAGCACCGGCTCTGGGAGGTTGAAGCAGGAGGATCACAAGTTCCACCCCAGCCCAGGCAATTTAGCAAGACCCTGTCTCAAAATATATAAGGCCAGGGGCTGGGGATACAGCTCAATGGCATAAGCACTTGCCTGGCAAGCCTGAGGTCATGAGTTCGATTCCTGGTACCTATATATATATATACGGCCAGGCGTGATGGTGCACATCTGTAACCCTAGCACTTGGGAGGCTGAGGCAGGAAGATAGGTCCAAGTTGGAGGCCAGCCTGGACTGCACAGTGGGTTCACATTACATTGTGAGACCCTAAACCTAAATAAACAAGTAAATAAATAATTGGGGGTGTAGCTCAGTGAAAGGTCCTAGGTTCATTTTCCAGTACTGCAAAAGAAAAAAAAAAGTCGCAGCTACTAGGAACAATAGGTATTATATGTTAGTAGCTGATCTTTAAATTTTTTCAAGCACTTATGAACTAGTTCTTTAAGTCTCACAATTACCAATTGATGTGGGAACCATTATTATTCCCACTTATTTTGTCCTTTTTTCCGGTACCAGGAATCGAACTCATGACCTCACGCTTGCCAGCCAGGCGCTGTGCCACTGAGCTATATCCCCAGCTCTATTATTCCCACTTAACAGATGATTTTTTATCACGCAGCCTGTCCTTACTCCTCCTCCTACTGACAGCCTTTTTATGATCTTAGCCTACCTGGCCCCTGGCTGACCGGCTATGAAGGGACAGAGTGGAAAGACCAGGGCCTCAGGAGATGAATTGATTCACCTGGAGTGGATGTGGGTCTGTCTCTTTGGAGTTTTGTTCTGTTCTGTTCTGTTCTGGTTTTTTTTGTTTTGTTATTTTTGTTTTTTTTTTTTTGAGACAGGTCTCACTATGCAGTTTGAGCAGGCTGGCCTTGAACTTGGAGCAATCCTCCTGTCTCAGCCTCCCGAGTGCTGGGATTACAGCTGTACCACCACGCCTGGCGAGTCTGCCTCTTGATTAGCTCAGGGTCTGTGAGCGAGTTATTGAAACTCGCAAAGAAGATAACGTGTGCGTGTAAAATGCCCAGCATGGCTGGGGGAGGTGGCATGCATCTGTAGTTCTAGCTATTCAGGAGGCTGAAGCAGGAGGATCTCTTGAGCCCAGGAGTTTGATGGCAGCCTGGGAAACATAATGAGTGCCTGGAACATAGTAAACACAAAAAGATTGTCTCTTCTAGTTATTCGCATAGAGTAGGGTGCTCAGAAAATAATAAATAGAAGGATGGCTAGGTCCTGGGGACACCTGGAACAATTCCTGGCCCTGTTGGGGTGGGGGTGTCAGCAGGCATCCCCCCGAGGCTATTCATCTTGGGTTGACAGGGCAGCGTAAGGGCTCTGAGTCCCCTCCTCCGGGGACATGCTGTAGAAGGGAGTCGTTTTATGTCAAGTCACTGTTTTTGCCAACGGACCAGAAAATCGATGAGAAGCAGCCAGGCCCGCTGGAGATGGCGGCAGTGACGCCAGCACCCGAGGGCCCCTCCCGGAGCAAGGGAAGGTCCTGGCCAAGGCCTGCTCTGAGAGGACCTGCCCTCTGCCCTCTTCTGCGGAGGGGCCAGGACGATCAATGCAGGTGACCTCAGAGGCGTGCTGCAGCCTCCGAGCGGGGCCCCGGGGAAAGGGCAGAGGTGGCTGGCACCACCACAGCTGCACCTCTGGTTAATATTTAGTCATTCTTTCTCCCTCCGCCTGCAAACCGGGGGAGGGAGCAAAGTCACAGGGGCTTTGAGGAGCTGGATTTGCTGACGGATGACTCAGCGTTGGGAGTGAGACACATCCCCGCCCCGGGCTCCGCACAGGTCTGTGTGGGCCCCACAGGCGTGACAGACCATGTTACGCATCCACTTGGGAGGATTGTGTCTCCCAGTGTCACTGGATGGCGGGTCCCACGGGGCCTCTTCTGCCCTGAACAGAGAATTGGACGGGACTCACAGAAAAGGTAGCGAAATGCTCACTTATGGAAGGCAGAAAGGTAGCTCCGCAGGGGGAGGTGGGCTGGTGAGAAGGGTCCCAGCAGCCCTCGGGGTGGGCTCCGGGTTATATCTCCTTTATGTAGTTACAGCACTGAGAGTTGTCCTAGCAAACACTCACATGGCATCATGCCAGGGGTAAACTGTGCTATCACAAAACTCATTTGGAATGCCAGGCATGGTGGCGCCAGCCTGTAATCCCAGTACTCAGGAGGCTGAGGCAGGAGGATCACTGTGAGTTCGAGGCCAGCCTGGGCTACAAAATGCACTCAAGGCCAGCCTGAACTGCACAGCGAGACCCTGCCTCAAAAAAAACAAAAAACAAAACCAACTCATTTGGTTCCCTATTATATGTAAATGGAGGGTAAACTAGTGTCTTTTGATGAGGTTTGCCCGCGTGCAAGTGAAGGATTGGAAGGAGCGCCTTCTGATCGCTCCTGTGAACACTCCTGACTCACATGAAAGGGTGAAAGTAGCACGGTTCTGACTGACCCAAAGGAGCACCCCTCTGACTGGTTCTGCGTACAGCGACATGGTGTCACTGCTAGGGGTGTCCCTCGCCCTGTTGTCCTGTCGTCACCCCCCCAGAACTAGTCCCTGAACCGAGGGCCTTTCCCCGGTGACGGGGATCCCTCTGGGCAAGGGTCCCGGGCGCCTCCTCGGGCGCTGTTGGTCACGGAGTTCCAGGCGTGCTTCTGTGGCCGCCACACGGCAGATGACCTCGCAGTCCCTCCGCTGCCAAGGGTCACCCACATCCAGATGGGCTTGGCAAGGACTCGGTGGCCTGGAGGCCATTCCTCAGCCCAGCCTCTTCTTGTTGCCCTTTGGGTCGCCCCGGTTCCCTCTGGACCCACGGGCCTTGCTGTGGGCCTGGCCAGCGACACCCACCGCGACCTTGGCCCTCTCTTTTCTTGAACTGACTCTTGTTTGTCCCCCTCAGTCACGGTTGTTAAGATGGTCAAAGCCAAACCCGCTCACGGGGTCGCCCGCCGTGGACACTGCCGGGGATTCTGCAGCTTCCTCCTAGCGTCTGGAGCAGACTGGCTGGTGAAACATGGGCTCAGGGCGGTTCGGGCCTCCCCGGCTCAGGCCCTAGGGCGGAACCTTGCAGAGGACCTGCTGGGTTTTCATCAGAGCCCTGGTGAATAACCCTGCTCTCACCATAGTTTATGGGCAGGGGCTCCTCCTGGAAGGTTTGCATGTCACCTCTTCCGTGCGCCTCCCTAGACCAACGTCCCCTTGTCTGGATTCACGCGCCACCGCTCCCCTTCCCACCTACCTCAACTGTGGTATTTCAACTTGACTGTGACTCCACATGGCGCATGGATTTTGTTCATTATCCTATGGCCTGGCAAAGCACTCAAGAAGAAGAAGATTTTAATTGATATTTGCTGAAGGAACGAGGGAATAATTGAAGGGCGACCATTCCAGTCTACCTGGGGGAGGTCAGCTGAACCCAATACGTGGCTGTCAGAGCTGTGGTCATCATGTAGTCATCATGTAGCCGTGGTCATCATTCTGCTACAGTTTGCCTGGGGCTCGGTCTGAAGGCTCGGTCTTCCCACGAGGAAGCTCAAGTTTGTACTTGACAGGTGGTATGTAGGTTAGCTACGAGTTTGGACTTAGATGTGACTTTGAGAATCCCATACCAGGGCCGGGGATGTAGCTCAGTGGCACAAGCACCTGCCTGGCAAGCGCAAGGTCCTGAGTTCAATTCTAGGTACCAAAAAAGAAAGAAAGAAAGAAAGAATTAGAGAATCCCACACCATCGGTGTGGGCGGCCGAGGAACTGCTTTTCCGTTGGTCTGTTTGAGGGCAGGACCTACCAGGCGTCCTCTCCTCCCGTGCCCTGTTCACCCATTTCAAAATTCCTGACCTTCTACCTCTGATGATGTCACTGCCGCCTCAGCTGGCACGCCCTGGACCTTGGCGTGCCTGGGCCAGCTCAGCAGTGCGGGCATACCTGTTTCTGGCTGGAGCTTCCCGGCCTCTGCTTGCCCACTTCCTCCACAACCGGGCCCGCTTGGCGTACGGAACAGAGGGGCCCTGTTTCCCACCCCCTCGCCCTCAACCCCGTCTCCGTCCCCACCCGTGGTTCTGCCCAGTGTTAGAGCAGCCTGGGAACCACAAAGCCCACCGAGCCCTTTTCCGCTGCCCTCTGTGGCGGTCGGCAGGATGAGCGGCTTCTTCCTCCTGACTCTGTCCCCGCTTTGGGGAGCGCTCTGTCCACTGCATTCCTATCCGTCCTGCCCCTGTTCTTGAATGGCAGTACGCCTCGTTTTCCTCCTGCAGGTCCTTTGCCTTTTACTTTGTTCTCATTGCCGTGACACGTCCTGCTTCCCATGCAAGACATCCGGTATCTCTGAGCCTTAGTAAAATGAAAGTTGTCGTCAAAAATACAACCTATACATATAAAAGGTCCAGCACGGTACTGGCACGAAGTAAATGCCCTCGAAATGGTCGTGCTTTGTTTTATGACTGTTCAGAAATGACCGTCTTCCAGCCTGTGGGTTTGTATTCTCCTTATTATTTAACCTACAGTGAGTGAATGTTAAACGGCCCCCAAAGGGCACAGAATTGCGTGGTGAATCTCCAGGGACCCGTGACCCAGCCCCAGCACCTGCCAACCCACAGCCAATCCTTGGCCTTGTTTGTTTGTTTGTTTGTTTCTTTCTTTCTTTCCTTTGCCTTAATTATGTAGTCTCCATATTTTAGTCTCATCTCTGAGCGCTCCATCTAAATTTTTCTGTAATGCTGGGACTCTAACCCAGGGCCTTTTTTTTTTCTTTTTGAGACAGGGTTTCACTATGCATTTCAGGCTGGCTTTGAATTTGCTCTTTGGACCAGGCTGGCCTCAGACTCATGCTGATCCTCCTGCCTTGGCCTGCCAAGTGCTGAGATTACAAGGATGCACCACCACGCCCGGCTCCCAGGGCCTTAATGAATGTGAAGTGAGTGCTCTGCTACTGAGCTACACTCAACCACCCATTACTCTTTCTGAATCGCTCACACCTCTGAGCGTGCACCATGCTCGCTGACGTCACCAGGCTCTTGGGCTTGCTTTTCAGTAAACTAATTCCACTCACCCTTCAAGGTGCCTTCTAGAACCTCCTCCTCTGAGAAGGCATCTTTGACTTTTTCCCAAAGTTAGGTTAGGTGCTTTTTTCGGTCTTCCATTGCAACTTTGTTTTCCTTCTTTGTAACATAATGTTGATAGGCAATATCAGTTCTTAAGTACTGTTAAATCTGTTAAATCTATATTATAATGTTTAAAATTATGAGATGGTAGAAGAAGAGTAAGGATCACTCACAGAGAAACTTTGCCTTCTAGTCTGGGGATGGAATTAGTGCGTGTCTGGGTGCATGTGAGGTAGCTGTATCAGGTTCGGCACACTTGTAAGCTTGCTATTGTATGTGGAGACCAAGCGCGGTTTAAGGAAATGCATCTGGCTGTCAAATTGGCAAGGGGTGGATTGTGATGCTGAATTGTGGTGTCAGTTTAAATGGATTAAGAAACCAGCAGATCAGGGGAGCACAGTTCCGGGTGTGTTTGGGTGTAAGCTGCAAAGCAGAGGAGAGAAGACCCACCCTGGACGTGGGTGGCAACAGCCAATAGGCTTGTAGCGTGGATGGAGTAAAAAGGGGAGGGAGAAGGAAGGCTGCCCTTCTGCTTACCCAGAGGAGCACCGGACTTTATCATTACTTGTAGACA